ATATTTCTGTCAAAGTTGTTTTAGGCTTTGACCCAAATCACAGAATAAGGGTTTCATGTCAGCTGGTATGGACAATGATCGATTAGATTTTTTTGGTTCAATTATCTGAAATGCTGCCAAACCTTTCTGCATCACCCTGCAAGAAATTCTGACCCATACAGTTCTGTAAATATAGTAAACAAGGGCTAAGTGGTGTAAAACAGATATAAACTTATGTCAGCACAGACGTAAAATTAAATGTAGTATTACATAATATGAGCCAAAGGGATTATGTAGATTTAAAAAACAAAACACAAAAGAGTGGCCAGAGAATGGAGCCCTGAGGAACTCCACATCTGATCTTTGTGTGTTCTCATTTACAATGAGAAAGCAGAAAAAATATCTACTAGCTAAGATCTAGATCAGTTTATCATATCAAAATCATATTCATTTTTCCAGTCTGGCATTGAGTTTTTTTTATTTATGATAAATCACTGGCATCCTGTAAAACCAAGACAGAAGTTTTATGATAAACCACTGTACAGTCATTGATCAACTGCCTATTCGGTAATCCCCGCTAAAACTTAATCAGGGTCTGCAACGTTTTTACTAAGTACTAAATCTCCTGAGAACCAAATTAATGCAGCACGTTGTGAATTTATGACAAACGGTTTTTGTCAAACACTTTTAAACTCAATTTAAGATACCCTACTGCAGATGCACTAATGACTGAAAGCACAGGGGACTGTTTTCATGAGGCAGAATCAAACAAATACTGTTTGTCTTATTCTCTGAATCTTTTAGGTAAAATAAGAAAGCAAAGTAATTGTTGGATAAGAGTCAGCAGGGACAATTGGTGAGGCGTTTATCTGGCTGTCAGCAAAAGCAATTTAAGGTCCAAACATTGTTCAGAGGAATATAACGGCCCCCATCTTTTCTATGTTAACTGCAGGAACAAAAGTTACAGCAATGAGAGGATGAGCAATGCTGGATTCAAAATGGAGCGCAGAGAAGCTCAGGAAGTAGGAACGAAACGGGCAGAAGCAAACAGAAGGATCTTACAAACGGTGGCCGAAGAGAAGCGCTTAAAGTCTGAGGAGGCCGATTACTGGAACGCAAAGCAGGTGAGTCCAGAGAGCGGCTAATTCACTGAACACAGAAACTGGAAGAAAAAAGTTCATAGAAAGTATAACAATAAAAAAAGACCCCAAACAATTCCACATCCAGGAATAATTACAAACTAGAATGTGAGCAAACATGAATTTACTAAAGTGTATGATCAACTCAAAAGAACACAAGACTGCAAATTAACAATATGCAAGAGAGATCTAAAGTTATGTCATCAGAATAGACACTGTGAGATGATTGTAGTACATCATAATCTGAACCACATGGATTATGGAGATTTTAAAAAATAAAGAGGCCTTAGAATGGAGCCTTGAGGAACTCCACATGTAACGTTTGAGTGCTCTCATTTACAATTAGAAAACAGAGAATTTTGTCTACTAGATCAGAGTTTATCAGTTTACCGTACTTCTACATGTAGCTACAATATGAGCAAGACTATGGTTAGCTGCTATAAACCAGGATTTCAATAACATTTAAAAAAAAAAGACAAAATGATAATGGAGTTGACATTTTTGACCCATTTTATCAACTTAAGTATGAATTACCAAGGTTACAGTGGCTACAAAATGGACTTCTGTAAACTGATAACTTCTCCTTAAAATATTTTCAGATACGTTTACATATTGTAGCCTTTAATCTGCCAAATATCTATTCTGCATACCTGAAATGTATGAAAGAATTTCCTAGTTTTCTTCCTAAAATAATGGCCTAAGTGGCTTTTGCCAATTTTTAGTGGTGATTTTGGCCCCGTCTCTTTCTACTACACACAGACGTTACCATTTGTGAACATGTTTCTCCTTTCTATCTTTAAACTTAGTTTTTCAGAAAATTATAATCAAGAGCTATAAATTACAACCTTCTAGAGCTTTGGGTATTTTCACTTTCCTTTTATTAATCCAATTTCAACAGATGCCAGTCAGCGCAGGGCTTCAGGAAGCAAAACAAAATCTACTCGGCAGAGCCGTTTCTTTTTGTTTTATTGTAGCAAGGGTACAAACAGGGAAACGCATGTCGGTGCCCTTAAAGCAACAGCAATAGAAATCAGATCAAGAGCAATAAATTGCTCTGAATGTTCGGATTTTTCTCACAGCCCTTTTACTATCCATTTTCATACACTGGATACGGCCTTTTAGTGATATAACCGTATCCAGTCAGAGGCTCCCTGCTAGGATAGGAGGTGATTTGCTTCCGTGCATGTGTGTGTGCTAATAAGAGGCCCTGAGACAATGACAGACACCAAGTCCTAATTAGGTTGTCATGCTGAGAGAGCAAGGGAGAGACAGAGAGAGAGAAAGAAATGGGAAAGGGAGAGAGAAAGAGAGAGCTTATTACGGAGGATAGGTGTCAGGCTATGGCAGGAATAGGTGGGAGGATGGCACAGGAGCAGGTCGAGGGGGAGGAGGGAGGGAGGAAGACGACGCGGATGAAGGGAAAGAGGGAACAGGTCGGTGACGTGGAGAACAAAAACTGGGAATGGGAGGAGCATTAATGGGGAAGTGATGTGTTTTCCAGGCACGTAGTGGCATTTTGTAGCATAATGAAGTAACTAATTTCAGTTGTTAAAAAATGCTGCATATATCAAGTATAACTTTACAATTAAACACCTTGAAATTGGGCCTCTGTCTCTTTAAGAAGCTTCTGTTTGTTCTGAAACTTCAGGAAATTATCAACATGGCTCACCTATAACCCCTTAACAACATTTCTATCAGTGTTTCACTGAGAAGTAGCTCCTATAATGAGCACAGCCAGCAGGTGTTTGCTAATAGCTTCTGGCTAGTCTGAAGGAGCTGATTGAAGGAGTTGCTGGGGGAGAAGGAAGCTTGGAATCTTGGGAACTGCAGTTCAGAGGAGGAGCTTCGTCCTAGAAGGCGGAGCTAGGTCCTCCCAGGCGTTTTGAATATGTGAATGGTTGCCATGGAGATTAAAGGATTCTCAAACATGCGTGAAAGAATTAAAGTGACACTCCAGGTGGGTTTTTGATGAGGGAATAATATTATAACATGATGTAAAGATCAAAGAAGTCTATTTTACATAACACTGCTTGGGAAAAACAGGAAGTGGAAATGAAAGAGTCCATGATCTTTTGACATTAATGGATAAATTAATCCATTACTAATGTTTCAAACAATTAAGTTAGTCCACTAAAGTAATACAACTAAATGAGTTTGATTCATTTACTATATGAGCCTCTGTGAATCGCATTTTTTCCACTCAGTTTTATCCAAACACCCGTCAGTCACTTGCAGGTAAACAAGAAGGAAAGCTTTGTTGTCGGCTACAAAGCTGACTGCTCTACATAGGTTTCTGCCACTGCAGTTACAAACACACAGACATGTCCCTGAAGTGGCCCCACAGTAGCCATGCCAGAGCCTGTTGTCCTGCCAGCAGCCATATTGTGAATGAACAATTTGCAAAACTGGCAGGATTTCCTCCATCTGGCAGATTAAACCCATTTGTCGCATGTTTAGAGAAAAGATTTGCTTCAGAAAAGAAGGAAAAAAAACTATTTTAGAACGAATTATGGTGTGAAAACAAAAACGTGTTGTAGCTTAAGAGATTGTTTGTTTTAATGACAAAATTACGGCACTTCACATTCTACTTAATGAATTCATTTTCTAAAGCAGAAGCCTAATCTCAGACTGAAAAACTTAGAAAAATCTATCTTTAATTTACGTCCATATAAACACGTTCGATAAATGAGATGATTGAAAAGTTTATTTATTGTAGTTCACCAAATGAAACGTTACCTGCAATAATTAGACACAAATTGATGTTTCTTTTTTTGTGCCTTTTTTTCTATTAGCTACACTTGCAACTAATGAAAACACAATATTTAAGAAATTTATATCAGACCAATAAAAAAACAATGCTGTCAAATGATTAAAGAATATAATCAGATTAATCAGACTATAGTGCTGTAATTAATCATGATTAATCACTATGTCCAACTTGGTAACCTTCTAATCTAAATATGAACACAGTTGAGGTTCTGGCAGGAATGGAGCTCTGGCTAAGCCCCTCCTCCTGCCACACTCCAGCCAATCAAAATGAAAGCAATTATCTGACTTTTTTGAAAGAAGGTAATGGAAACCTACTCCAAGTAGAAAACTTGTACAGAGGAAAACTGACAGATGACTAGCTCACTCTTGCCTTTTTTTTCCCAAGTGTGTTATGCTTTCTGTATTTCAACCAAATAAGAGAAATGGCTGTGTCCATTTGAATGAAAATCTCAAGATGTTTGTTGTCCTTTTTACTATTAAGATAAATTAAAATCACCTTACATTTTCCTTTCTAACATTTTAAAATATAACTTTTTTTGACAGGCCTGGAATCAGACAGAATTGCACCCTAACATTGTTTTAAAAGTGTATCTGCATCAATTTAAGCTTCCTGAATTGTGATCAAGGATTGCTCAAAATCATTCTAAGGACCGCAAATGGCCCACGCGCCGCACTTTGAACACCCTCGGTATAGTGACTCCCTCCCTTGTTAATTTTTCAAAAAAAAAAAAAAAAAAAGTCAAAAAGGTGTTACTGCTTTTTTCCATTAAAAGTGAGAACAAAGCAGTGAATCGTGTCACAACTGGTCCAGAAAAAGGTTTTATCATTCCAGAAACTCAGCGTGATTATTCCGTCTCACCACCTGCATTACGCTCAGACTGAATCCCGAACTCGGAAAACAAAACGCCTCTCTGCTCAGCGTGCTTTGACCTTGCTCCCAATCCGGGCAGAGGAGCGGTTTGGATGTGGCATTCACAAGGCGTCATCAGCGATGCATCTACCTGACCTAGAGATGACCCTGAGTCACGCTTCATCTGAGAGTCTGGGGTGGAGAGACGGAGATTTTCCTCCAGGGGAGAGCAAAAGTCTTTCCCCGGCGTGCAGATACGGTACCTTAGAACGCAAGTGTAGAAGCCGTTATCTTCCACTTCAGCAGATCTAAACCAGATGGAGTCGTCTTCTTTGCTCAGCCTGTGACCAGAGAAGATGATGGGCTCCTGCAGGAGACATTACAAAGGATAACAAGAAGCTGAATTTTCAAGGGAAAAAAAAAAAAAACATTTTTTGACCTAAAAGCAATGATGATTAAACCCGAAGAAGATTACAACGTAAATTAGATGAAAAAGTGATTTAACTTAGACTACTTCACTGTATTTGAGATGTGACGCACTAAAGAACAGCTCCTGTAGGTTTCAGGTTATTATCTGAGTGAGAGTCTATCAGCTGTTCTGAAGAAATTACTGTTTCAGCTTCAGCTTCAGGTTTGTTCGTGTCCCAAAGGGCAATTCATGTTACAGCAAGTACATAAATGTATAAAAATTAGACTTACAGTATTTATGACAGATTTTTCCACCTACAAAACTTTGCAAAATAATTCATACGTCTACAAAGTTTGACACTTTTGGCATGCCATATTGAAATTTACGTCACAGAAGGATTCAAATTATTTGCATAATTCAGAAGTGAGGAAAACACTGAGATGTTTTGATGTATGAAAAGTATGAAATTAATTTCTTAAATTTTTAGCAATAAAAGTCTGAAAGGTGCGGTTTGCATTTACATATGTCAAAATTAGACTCCCAAGCAAGTTTGAAAAAAAAGTCTATAAAGGTTTTTACTTATGTAAACTTCTTCACAGGAATTAGAATTTCAAATTTATCTTTAGATTTTACTACAAAGAACCTCAAATTACAAAAAGAGAGAGAATGAATACATTATTTTTATAAAGTACTGAGGAAAAGCACATAAGTTTGTGGCCTAATGTTAAAAATAGCACAGGTGTGAGCATCAATATTGCATCAAAAGTCAACAACAAACAGCACTTAATTACTTTCATATTTACATTTATTAAATTGTATTTGATATTTGGAATAGTGTTTGCGATTGAATGTTCTGTTTTATATCATTCATGTTAAAGAACCAAAATAGACACATGTGGCCATAGAAACCTGTGATATATCAAAAGAAAACACATTTTAGTTGTGAATAGAATAAATGTGAGGTATGAATACTTCTGCAAAGCTCTTTTAGTTATTTTCTTACGCCTGGTTTCTCGTCGTTCTGAATGAGCTGCCTTACCTCAGCATCTCCTTTGTTCTTGTACCAGATGAGACGCAGCTTGGCGTTGGTGGCCATGGTGTAGTTGGTTCGAATGTAGCTGTAGAACAAGGCACATTTGACCCGAACGGGCTCGCCGGCCAGGACGTGGTACTCCCTCAGATCCACCGACCAGTCTATGCATCCGTCCACTGGCAGGGAGAGAAGGCAGAGAGGTGAGACCGGCAGTCTGAATGCGCACGCTGTTCGCTCTGCTCGACAACTTTGCTCTCTCAAAGTTTCTGAAAATCATCAAAAATACCTGCATGAGTTGGAGAAAAATAAACTGTATGGAAAATGAAATGTGCAGATGACGGAAGAAAATAAGAGGGTGTAAGGAAACAAACAGGAAAAGACAAATGCAGGTGACGGGGAATATTGTTTCTTTGAAAATTGTTTGCGGTTTTGTGTCTCAATCTAGAAGCAATCAACGACTGCAAATAGCTTTTCAAAGTCTGTGTGTGTGTGTGTCTGTGTGTGTGTGTGTGTATATATATATATATATATATATATATATATATATATATATATATATATATATATATATATATATAGAATGACCGAGCTAAGATCCTGTGGGACTTCCAGATCCAGACAGACAAGATGGTAATGGCGAACCAACCGGACATTGTGGTGGTGGATAAAGAACAGAGGAAAGCCGTTGTGGTGGATGTAGCAATACCAAGTGACCACAACATCAGGAAAAAGGAGAATGAGAAACTAGAGAAATACCAGGGCCTCAGAGAGGAACTGGAGAAGGCCTGGAAGGTGAAGACCACAGTGGTGCCTGTGGTCATCGGGGCCCTCGGGGCCAAACTGGAGCAGTGGCTCAAACAGATCCCAGGAACAACATCAGACATCTCAGTCCAGAAATGTGCAGTTCTAGGCACAGCCAAGATACTGGAGGAACCCTCAAACTCCCAGGCCTCTGGTAGAGGACCCGAGCTCAGAGGATGAAAGAGACCACCCACGGAGGGTGAGAAGGGAATTTTTTATATATAATACAACTTAAAGCTTGAACCCATGAAGAAGATATAATAATAAGCGATAATGGAAGAAAAATATGAGGTGAGGAGGTCCATAAACATTCAGAGTTCTGAAAGAAGGAGGGCGATGCCTGCTAAGGCAAAAGAAGAGATGAAAGAGGAATGTATGCAGCGGTGGGTAAGATGAGGTCAACTGAAAGGGGGGAGAAAAAAAACAAATTGTAGACGGAAGACATGGGAAAGGAAGAAGCTGAGATGTAAAGGTCAACACTGAAAATGACAAGGGCGATTCCCCAAATGGACTTCCCGCG